TAACGACGTGAAGCACGTTAAAAACATGAACCAGGATAGCTCCTGCCAGGACAGACCCTGACGCATGTTCAGAGAACACGATTTCCGCGCATACAGAATATAAGACTTCCGCGCACACAGTGTACGACTTCGGCGCACACATAGTGTAAGACTTCCGAGGCACGGCCGGGACGGCGCCTGCGTATACGCGTCTGCCGAAACCAGGCCATGTTATAGCTGGACCCGGCAGTCCGGTCCGACCAGCAAGGCACACCCTCGCTTTACGCTCGCCCACATGTAATCACATCACACGCACTACTGTAACACATAAAAGAAAACATTAAAAGATTCAGTAAGAACTTTTCTAAAAAATGCAGCAGAACTCTCAGGTCACTAATCTTTCCAGGGCACCATATACAGAGCTGCAGCAACACGACAACCTCTGGTATGGTTTGATCCTCATGTAAACTTAAATACTGTCTTCAATGTCAGAACTAATTTGCTCTACTTAGCTTTCATCAGTTATACTTTGGTTTTCCGGCATTTTTCGCAACCGATTAAAAATGTAAACACTTATTCTTACAAAATATTTTTTAAGACAATGTTAGGAATAAATTTGCTTTCCTCATGTATCAAATGGTGATCGGTAGCAGCGGCAAATAACGTGGTCGCGGCGTCATAAGCCGACAGCATATTTCCACTCAAGAGCGAGCGCCACAGCACCACGCGTTCCACTAAACCCTGAACATCAATTCCCAATTTTATCGACTACGTAATACTCGCAGTAAACTGTAACACTTATCAACACATTAGAACACAGAAATACAACTTAGTGTTTTTAATTAATAGCACGTTAACGTTAAACATTTTTCGGTACATCGTTTAAACATTTTAAACTTTAAAATTAGCCCATGTAAATCACACGTCGTGTATCAAATTATAACATAACTCGAGCAAGTTAAACTTCCACTGAATGCAAACTATAACTCATTTAGAATACCTTCAACATTTCTTTCAACATTTGTCATCATTTTAATGGGTACGTTAAGAAATAATGAAAATACTTGCGGGTACTTTTTGTTATAAATCGAACAAAAAGATTTAACTTTTGGCTTAAAACATTTCACTTTAAACTTTTACTCTACACTTTAATGATTCATCAGTGTCGTAAATACGACAACAAACTTGATTTAAGAAATTGAACACAAAAACAAAACGCGAGGCACATCATAGTATTTCACCAACGTTATAAACCTCACACTATTCAAAGGTTATAACAGGTGGGCAGTAACAGGGACTTTATCCCACTTCTGATATCGGAAATGACAACAGGAGATCCCACTTCTGATGTCGGAGAATTACAACAGAGGATCACAATTTTGATCTCTGAAATACATCAGGATAGCGTTAATTGTTAAAAATAATAAAAGTGTGAGAGCGGATGTTCAACTTGCTCTCTTGCTTACGCAGTTTAATCATTATCAGTAATAAGACAACGTAACGCACTATACATTCAGTATAGTGAAATTACAGTTCGACCACACCTTAATACGTCTCTGCCACAATCACACACACCAGTGTAACGTGAGGTACGTAATTACATGATAACACCAAAATATGCAAACCAACAGCAACACTACTTATCTCAATGTAACACAGGGCAGCCTCTCAGCAACACCAATTCTCCTTGCCTGCACTAAAGAATTACCACAACAAACGGAACCACGACACTATATTAGCACTAGTAGAACGACCACACTCGTTGAATGACTTAAGCGGAATCTCCCGCGCACGGCACCTACAGTGAACTTTATACTACAGACACAAGAGGGGGTTTCTCGATATACCCTCCATTCTACCGCGATCCAACCGGGTATTTTATAGACGCTCCGACATATATATATATACCAATACTCATGATGATCGATCAAATTTATATAATGTACACAAACATCCTCTTTTTGTATCATCATCATCATTACAGCCCTTCACAAGTCCACTGCTGAACATAGGCCTCCTCCAAGGAATGCCACAAAGCATGGTCCTGAGCCACCTGCATCCATCGACTTCCTGCATATCATCTTTTTGTATGGATGTATATTATCCCTGCGAACTGTGGCAAATACGGGGGATATGAAGCAATGAAGCAATTTGTAGGCGAGGGCTATGTTTACCAATGGACTTTTTATAGCCTATAACTGACTTCCCGAATCTTATGAGCTTACAATCCGTATATATATTTATTAATTAGATAAACTTTTTTACTTATAGACTTAAAAAAAAAACTTGTTTACGTTCATAAGTCGTGAAGCAAGGCCATCACTATACTATATTTATGAGTAGGCTGACTGACCCCATTATATATGTCTATAGTCCGATCTCATGAATATTTAGTTGACACGCTTACTGCCTGTGGCCTGTGTTTTGATTACTGGCGTTATATATTTAGTTTAGACAAACTAAATAACCTAAAATACTGAATTTAAAATGTAAAAAATTTCACTTTTAACCACTTAAATGTTTCTTGTTTCTATTTAGTCCATCATCATCATCATCATTACAGCCCTTAACAAGTCCACTGCTGAACATAGGCCTGTCCCAAGGAGTGCCACTAAGCACGGTCCTGAGCCATCTGCATCCATCGACTTCCTGCATGTCTCACCAGGTCAGGGGGGGGGGGGGGAGCTATACTACGCCTACCAATTTGAGGGTGTCACCTGCCACTCGAGCACCTTTCTTCCCCATCGGTTCTTCGAGCTATATGGCCGGCCCATTGCCACTTCAGCTTACTAATCCTTTGGGCTATATCGGTTGCTCTGGTTCTACTGCGGATATACTCATGTCAATTTAGATACTTACGCGATATTTCCCCTTACACACATTAATTGCAATGCAACATATATCCAGGACAATAATTGTTTGTAGGCCCCATAATGTCTTCTTCTACGTAGAGCCATGCTGCAGCTATATTATTGTTGTAGCACGAATGGGTCGGCTCGAACGGGGAAGGACCACTCTCACAGAAAATCAGCGTAAAATAGCAGCTTAATGCTGCTGTGTTTCGTATGGTGAGTGTAGAGAACCGGAGACCCTTTTTACTGGCATAGAGGCATTCCATCTTAGTCCTCACGGGTGACAACGCATCTGCATCTTGAGTCTTTATTGAGGATAGATGTAGATGTCTATGGGTCACAGTAACCACTTACCATCAGGTGGACTGTGTGCTCGTTTGTCACCCGATCCTATAAAAAAAAATCTATATTAATATTATTATAAAGAGGAAAGTTTGTTAGTTTGTTTGTAGGAAGTAATCTCTGGAACTACTGAACAAATTTTAAAAAATCTTTCACCAGTAGAAAGCTACATTATTCGTGAGTGACACAGGCTATATTTGATTGTGATTAATAATATTTTTTAATGTGAAATAACAATATTTGTCAATCGATTCCGAGAATAAATCTTAAACACTAAGTACTAAGAACCACACAAGATTTTCATCACAAGTTAAAATGTTTGACGCCCAGCAAAGTGGGCACGGGTCAGCTAGTTTGTATTATAAAAGTAGCTGTTCCTCGCGACTTGGCTCGCTCGCGTGTTAGGGTTTTATGTTTTTGCGCGGAACCCTAATTATTTTTCTAGAATAAAAGTAGCCTAAGATATTCCTTATGAAATCAGCTATCTGCCAGTGAAAGTCCCGTCAAAATCGATCCAGCCGTTTCGGAGATTAGCCGGAACAAACAGACAGACAAACAAAAATTCAAAAAATTGTATTTTAGTTATGTGCTGTATCTACTTTCATATGCATTTAGTAAAAAACTGTAATTTTGGCATTACAAAAATACACTTCAATTTTATTTACTTGTATAGATACAATGGACCCGTCTCGGATTCGTCAGGGTAGGTTCGGTGTGGCGTTATTAAGATTTAACTATTTTCACCAATTTTTCAATTCCTCAAAAAGAAATCTCGCAAGTTTGTCTGATAAAATATAACCTAGATCTCTCCTGACATTGATCTCTATCTGTTCCTGATTTTTCCTGAGTTTTATTACAATCGTTTTAGTTATTTCGATAAGGCCGGACAGACAGATAAACATTTAAAAAATGGTGCATGCAAATAACCCCCTAATCTGTATAAAAGGCAGTTAATTTGATATTACAGACAAGCACTTAAATATTCATATGTATAGGATAACAGAAAATGATATAAAAATGTTTAATGTCTTGTGGAAATTACATAAGTTGACGATTTTACGACTATTGATTTACCTACGGACTTACAAGGAAGTGAAATATGATTTTTATTGGGTTTTAATTTCATAATTAATATGATAATTTTTGTAAATTAATTTTAACTTTATATTTTCGAGTCAGTTGGTCTCCTTATCCTTCTGCAACTCATCACAACTATGACGGGGATGACATTTGGCTCGAATTGATTCTTACATCTTCTCCCTCCCCGTGTCCTCCCATGGTCAACATCAAGCTTCTTTCTTCTCACACACATAAAAAAACATACAGTCGAATTGAGTGCCTCCTCCATTTTGAAGTCGGTAGAAAAGAACGTTTCATTCGTTGTGCATATGCAGCATTATTAATTTCTTGCGCATCGGTTTGGATACGCCCACGTAGTTCTTCAGCAGCTGTTCTAGCATTACCTGCACAAATTTCATAAATAAAATGCATATTCGCGTATTCAGCTGACATGTACGACTTGGTAATACTCACAGAATGTACAAAACTCTTAGTTCGGAAGAATGCCAATTAGTCTTAAGTTACAAAGAATCATGGGTTTTGGATATTTGGGTAAATGTTTTTAGGTAGTCAAGACACGCTGTAGCACGAACGGGTCGGCACGACCGAGGTGGGACCACGCTCTCATAGAATATTAGTTAAACGAGGAACAACATTACTTAACCACACAAATTAAAAGTCCCCATTAAAAACTATTTTTTATTATTTGTAAGTACATGAAAAACACGGTAACGCTTAATTAAGTAGCACGCCATCTGTTGTCGGCAGGCGAGGTGAACAACGCGTACGTGACGGACGGGCAGTCGGTGGCGGGGTCGCGCAAGTCGCTGGCGCTGCAGCCCGTGCTGCTCGTGCGGCCGCCGCCCGACCTCGACGCCTACTCGCACTACTCGCACCCCTCGCACCACTCGCACCACTCCGCCAGGACCCCGCGACCCAAGCATGGCCTCTACGCCAATGCCATGCACAACTATCATTAGTCATTAGGCGTTAGTGATGACTTTAGTTTGTCAAATTTTGTTAATAGATGGCGCCATGAGGGTTTATAATCGGACGCTCGATGTCGCTAGTTGGAACTAAGTTGATTCTATTATCACTTATTTGTCATCATCAGTCAATGAAAAGTTGCGTTTTTAATGTTTATGTAAATGCCTTCATTAAACGTTTTATAAACGTAGCCAATATTTTGGTAGATGTAGTTGATACAAAAATATCAAAATTTTTAATATAAAATTGTATGACATTTTAAAATTTAATGGTGTTCATTATTTACCAACGTGTTACAAATTTAAACCATATTTATATAATGATATAGGTAATATGTTCGTAGATAAATAATAAAGTTTTGTAAATTATATTTTTCTTCGAGAATATATTTTTGTAAATCATCTTATAATGAAATAATAGTTTTAGTATATACTGTAAAGTAAGTATAGATTGTAAACTTTATGTAAAGTGTTATGTAAATAAGTCTATTGATGCGATACTTAGATTAGTTTTAAGTATTTTGTAATCACTTAGACATTACTTGCCCGTACCTTCCAAGTCGAATCCGTACAACGAAAAAACTTGTGCCTGCAACATAATTGAATTGTAATTTTTGTTAAATATTATAAATAAATTAGGTTTTGTATGTTTTGTGTTTTATTTCAATTATTTCAAAGGTCAATTACGTTAGTACTAGGATTTATTCTGTGCTTCAGTGTCTAATTGGGGTATTTCTGTTAAAGTTATTGCGTCTATAATAGATGCGATTTCACCCCAACTTGCTATTATTTTCAATGCTAGTATCGAATCTGGCGTGTTTCCTGATTTAATTACACATAGTAAAGTTATACCTTTATTTAAATCTGGCAGTACAGCTAACACTCAGTAAAAATTTTCAAAAAATTATTCTAGATCAAATGTTAAGTTTTTTTTTTTAAATGTAAATAAATTACTACATAACAATCAGTTTGGATTTACAAGGGGTCGTTTAACAACGGATGCCGGTGTTGATCTAATCAAACATATTTTCTATGCATGGGAAAATTCAGAAGATGCTTTGAGTATATTTTGTGATCTTTCTAAGGCTTTCGACTATGTTCACTATGACACATTAATCAGGAAGCTACATCATTATGGTATAAAAAACATAGCGCTTAAACTTATTATGTCTTATCTAAATAATAGAATGCAAATAGTTGCTATTAATGGATGCAGTTCTTTCGGATCGGTAGTATCTATGGGTGTTCCTCAGGGCTCAGTTCTTGGTCCCTTTCTGTTTTTAGTTTATATTAATGACTTACCTTACTTGATAGGGAATAACCATGATATAGTATTTACATCAAAAACGTAACTTGTAAAAAAAAACAAGTTTCAAAACTCAGTTCTTCTACCGTAATAATTTAAAATTAAACATTTTGTACAGCCGACTTCAATATAAGCTACTTCAATATAAGTTATTTAAGAATAACTCAATAACCATTGGTCTGACCTTGATCAAATTCATATGGGACCACACGAGAAGTATCAGCTTTCATATAAAAAAAGAATCATCGAAATCGGTTCCCCCAGTACAAAGTTATGAGGTAACACTCATAAAAAAAAATACATACACTCGAATTGAGTACCGTCTCCTTTTTGCTTTGCAAGTCGGCAGAAAAGCTGTAAGAGCCATGTAATAATACCATATCGGTTAATTTATTCAGTCCCTACTTAAGGGTCGTTCTGTCTCAAATTATTACATAATTAGCTAACCTAACAACATCTTATAGTGACCATATCAATATTAAAAGTTATTTATGTTTTAAATACATAGATCGAGTACACATTATCACTTGTCGACCCCAGCTATAAATAAATAGATAGATTTATAAATAAATTGTATAGTTTTTATATACGCAATAATTAACTAATATTATCACTATTATTGAGAATATAATTACGAGACAGCTTACCGAATTTCGCACAATTTTGCTGCATTTGCACGTCTTTGTCGCAAAACTTTCTTGTATTTTGGCATTTTGTGTGCCGTATAAACAACACCAACAGTAGCTTTAGCTTTTCGAAAAACTCAATAGTTCTAAATACACACAAAAAGCTTCTTCGCGCAGTATAAACACAACAAATATATAACTAACACAAAAACTATACCCAAAACAAACAAAAAAAACTAATAATATTATCGACTGATAAGATAACGTGTGCCAGCATGTGCGCTGGCCGACGCGGCCAACACGGGTTTCACCCTCAAGAGCTTGCCGCTCACTGACTCCCGCTCCCCTACCCCGCGAGCAGTGAATACGCCCAGATTTTTAAATAATTTCTAAATAAAATCAAACTTTGGTCTTTTGAAAAAAATTTATCGATCGAAATATTCATTAATAAATTGCCCATCCATTAGTGTCAATCGCAAAATAAAATAATGCTTACTTTACGAGGAGATGCATGTTATCAATAATTATTTCATATTTATGTGGTTTCGTTGTAAGGAGATTATTTTAATATTTATTCCTTTAAAAAAATTGGATATGACTATTATGGAATCAAGATTATGTAGAAATTTAATGTGTTTTTTATTAGTTGATATATCTTTTTAATAAAAAGTAGATAGCTCCAAAAAACTGCACAAATAACGACTAGCGCGACATTTTGCTCAACCATGCGCGTTAAATGGAAAAAAATTGTTTTCATTTCTAATATTCAGAGGTAATTTATTAAAACATTAACTACCATATAATATGGGCTGCAATTTAGCATTTTGGATGCAGGTAAAAGTTGTCCTTTATTTCGCGTGTTAATATTATGTGTATATTCTATGCTTTGATAAAGAAGAATAAAACAACTATATGCTATCAAACTGAGTTTAATCTCCATAAAGTAGTTTCGGTGTATCCGTGGTTTTCGAGGCAGGTCTCTTTCGGGAGTTGGTACGTGGCTAGCAGAGACAGGTGCTCTCTTCTGCTGTGCGTCAGACCATGCCTCCCTGGATCTCCAATTAATACCTGAAAATATTGACTCATTAGTTTTTCCGTGATTTTTGGCTGTGTTTAAGATCCAAGTAGTTCATTGCTCTTTGGAGTCTGACTAGCTCCACTCTAAAGTAGCCGAAGAAGAAGAAGAAGTGGGTCTAGTGGTCGTAAACGCGTTTGTTGATCAGGTGGTCTTTGGTTCGGATCCCGGGTCGGACCATAGCCTGTTATTGGCTTTTTCTGTCAAGATATTCTCAGAAGCAGCAAAGAGGCAGGAAACCCGATTTTAGAAGCGACTTATAACAATACAAAAGTCAGCTGCTGCCAATATGGCGAGTGAAGAGAGCCATAGAACTTTTTCACTGGTAACGGATTGTATCAGTTCTAAGCTTCCTCATACGGTCAGTTATTATAGTCTTTTTTTTTACTTATTATAAGCCAGTGCTTGACCACAATCCCACCTGGTGGTAAGTGGTGATGCAGCCTTAAGGTGGCACAAGTCGCGGGCTCGAACTCGCTGGTGGGCGCGGCCAAAAAGCACGCTGTCTCACCTGGCATCGTGCCCGACAGAGATAGTATCAGTGATGAGCATATCGACACTAGTATTCACGCATGTCTTGTTCGTACGGTGTTCCGAACCGTTAGAATAAAAACGAAGTTACACGAACACGATGCAACATCTATACTAATATAATAAAGCAGAAGAGGGTTTTTGTTTGTTTAAACGTGCTAATCTCTGGAACTACCAGTCCGATTTGAAAAATCTTTTTTTGGATATTATAGCCAGATTCATGTTGAATAGTATAGGCTATACAGCATTAGGCTATATATAGGAAGTCAGAAGAAAAAGCGCTGTTATGGTTCGGGATACGTAAATACAATGTTCTAGAAAAATATAGATCTTTACTCCGTCTAAAAAAAGTCCGCGATACCATATGTCTATTTCTTATATATAAGCCACAATTAGGCATTTTGTGACAAAAAAATGAAAATTTAATTATTAGGCACCTTACGAACCAAAGTTACTTCATTATCAAGACAATTTTATGAAGATAAACTTCGTTCTTTATACCATGTTTATATAGTACATAGTTTAAGAAATAATGTAAAATTAAAATAATTCAATACCTACTTGGCTTGACGCGCAAACAACGCATAACCCCTAGCCCGGTGCGAACTGAGAAGCCAGTATTGAAAGCTTCTATGAGCGAGGTTAGGTTAGCCGTTAGTTCAATCGTTATCTATATATACACAAATAAATAAAATTGAAGTGTCTGTTATAATGTCAAAATAACAGCTTTTTACTAATTGCGTATGAAACTGTATACGGTACTTATAACATTAACACAATTTTTAACATTTTTGTATGTCTGTCAGTCTGTTTGTTGCGGTTAATTTCCAAAACGGCTGGACCGACTTGGGCGGGACTTTCACTATTAGATAGCTCATGTTATAAGAAGTAACTTAGCCTGCTTAAATTTTAGAAAAATTATTAGGTGTCTTTGCAACAATATTAACGCCCTAAACTAAACGCGGACGAAGTCGCGGGGTACAGCTAGTAGCTAAAATAAATTCAAAATTAATTGAGTACTTTTATCTATCTCCCGGGTGACCGTATGAATGATTAGTTACATCTTTATTTCTGAACTCTTTAATTTCACGTTGCTATGGTATTTTGAAAGTTTAAATTTAATTAATTAATAAGTATAAGAGGTTGATAGCAAATTTATCAAGAATCATTTCTTGCCAACACACTTTTCATGAATCGTGTACGTTTTTCTTTAAAACTGGAAAAAACCGCGCATAATATGCCGACAGATAAAATAAAAGTACTCCATTAATCATGACAATTTTTCCATATATTACAATCAAATAAAATATTTGATTGCAATTATAAAATGCTGGAACTAGGTGTCATGTCATGCCACGCATCTCGGACACGTGATGACGCGGGTGAATCCACGAAATTATTAGGTATACGTCTGTGGCTCTATATACCTAATATAGATTGCTTATTTTATTATGTTTAGTTTTCCCCGAGTGGTCATGCAGCAATCACTCAAGAGTTCGGCTTCGAACGTGTGTAACTCGATAATTATCCCACGGCAACGAAATATCTGAATAAACGGTATCATATATGATATTTGGCAGCTCCGTGGCGCAGTGGCTTAGCAATGAATTGTTGTACTGGGAGCCGCGGGTTCGAATCAATCGAACAAGTATTTGTATGGTCTACAAATAATTGTTCCGGGTCTGGATGTTTGTAAACTGCCTCCACGATACAGGAGAAAATCCTAGTGTGGGGTAAAGTTTTTTTGAAAAAAAAATTTCGGACTATAGCCTATCTCTGAGCAAAATATCATCCAGATCCCTTCAGCCGTTCTGGCGTGATTGAGTAACATACATCCATTCATCCGTCCATCCAAATATCCCAACTTTCGCATTTATAATATTTAGATAATAATCGTAATTGGTCTGCCTACCTATAAATTGTTTTCAAAAATACTTACTTACCTGGCTTCTTATTTTTTTATATATACTCAATATCACTAAACGTAAACACAGGTTTTTATCAAGACAAGTGACCCATCAAGATTGTTTTCTTAGTACCGACGTACCTACCTAAAGTTTACAATTTTGTGGCCACGACGCGGCGAGGTTTTGTGACATTTTGTTGTATTGTTGATTGTAGGTATCTAGGTAATAACAGTAGGTACCTATGAAAATCCCACATAATATACTTTGTTTATCCGCCGCAAAAGTCGTCTAATAAATAATTAAACTGTTTTGTAATTCTTTATTTATTTATAACACTTGCATTGAGAGCCGTGGTAGCTCAGATGGTTAGCGCTCGCTGTAAGTATCACATTACGCGAGCAACCCGGGTTCGATCCCCGTCGGCACCAATGAAATTGTTGCAATTTTATATAGTAATCGAATATAGACTTTACTTTTTTTACTTTTATAATTATATTATATTACAGACGAAAATTTTAAAATATTGTCTGTCGTCCAAAACGCATCATCTCTTTCAATTATATCAATTTCCATGCCGTCTTTTGTCTTTGGCGTCCAAATTACAAAATAGCAAAACTTTTCGTTTCGAATAAAACTCGAATACTTATAAGCGCGCGTCACCGCCTGTGCATGTGTGTGTAAGCATCGTCCTCCCGCACCGCACCGGGGGAGACATTATTCAGTGAGATGCACGATAATTCATAGTAATATGCGCGCGTAAAAAAATACGAAAAGGCCTTTGGAAGAAGGGGTTTTATGAAAAAACCACTGCATTAATCAATTACAAATAAAATTTATTGAGTTCTTCGATAATTTACCTGTGTCGGTACCGACTTTGTTTTGGAAATTTTACACTTCTTTTATTACTAATTTACGCCCAAAGTTGTGTTAAAATTGGCAATAAAAACGAATCTTTGGTAGCTCGTAACTTTTTAATAACATTTTATTTTACTATTCTGTTTCCGTACAGACAAATTTAATAATGAGACAAAACGATATCATGTTTAATTTTGGATGTACACTGTCAAACAGCGGAGTAAAACCCCTCCGAAATTTCTATGGAAATAATGTCGACTAGTGTCACCTTAAATAGTAAATCGCACTGTCTTGTCTGCCTTGAAGACGCCCAGATTGTAATGACATTTTTGTTTGTTTGTATGACTACTTAAATGTTATGTGTTTTATGTAATCCGCTTGAGTGTGCCATGTGCCAAATAAAATCTGTTTCTTTCTTTCTTTCTTTCTATTCGGATGGAAAGATAGACGCGGGCAAATTATTCCACTCCTTTTCTGTACGCATTACAAAAGACGAAGCAAACCGTTTGGTTCTAATGCGTGGAATATCGATAACAAAGTGATGAAGACCCGCCGACCGCCCGGTTGTCCGATGGTGAATTGTCATATAAGAAACTTTGTTTTGAAGTTGTTACAATGATTTAGCTGAGATTCGCATAAGAATAATAGTTATGTATTTTACCTATGTTTAAGAGCAACTCCCGCCTTCCCTCAATTGCGTGCAATATCCCCATCACCACCAATCCCAACACCACTACACTAGGAAGGACACACCACCGTCGATAATAGGTATTTAATGCCTATTAATACCTATTTCCCCTGACGATGCCTTTTGAGGCGAAACCTCAAAAGGCATCGTCAGGAGAAATAGATTCGGCGGTAGCTGAACGCTAGGTGTACGTTCATAGTAAGTAACGCCTGTTTCTATTAATTAATTAAATATAAATTAAAACTTTGAACTCACAGTTTTTCCATTTTCAGTCAACGCTTTAAGCCATTCGAACAAAACCTTTGCAAATTCCTCATCATAGAACATATCTCCAATTAAAACAACTTCGAACTCTTCGCATCTCCTTCCAATCATGTCTTCTGTATTGGTTTCTATCTTAATTCCGTTAAATTCTGCGTTAATTAGTGAAGCTATAACTGCCACTGAAAAATAATAATTAACAGTGTACAAATTGTAACGTAATAGTAAACTGAAGTGACAATAGGCCGGCCATATAGCTCCAAGAACCGACAACCGATTGTAAAGAAAGGTTCTCGAGTAGCGGCCTCGTACCCGCGGACGAAGTGTAAGGCGTCCCCCACTTGATGGAGTTACGACCCGGTAAGACACACAGGTAGTCGATGGATGCAGGTGGCTCGGGATCGTGCTTTGTGGCACTACTTGGGAGAGGCCTATGTTCAGCAGCGGACTTGATAAAGGCTGTAATGATGATGATGATGATGAGTACCTTATTTATTAAAATTTGGATGTTTTTTTTATTTCAATAGCCTCGCGAATCATTTTTGATAGGAAACGGTGTACTTATATATAGTGGCAAATTGTACTCAGAGTTCTGTACAATTTGTCAAAGGGTATATATGTGATCTATGGTGCTAAAGCCTTTTCGGAAACCAGCTTATTCGGGAGGCTGGAAGTCGTCGAGTCTGCATGCGAGACGATTCAAAATGACTTTCGAAAACAGCACGTAGACGCGGCTCAGAAGGGAAATCGGTCTGTAGTTCTTCAAGAGAGCGTTGTCGCCTTTCTTGAAGAAAAAGGCCACGGTACCTATCTCTGCTCCATGTCTCCGGTGTAGTGCCACCATGGATGACGGAAGAAAAGAGCTTCTGAAGGATCTCAAGTACCGGTTTTCCACCCACTTTCAGAAGCTCCGCTGTAATTCCATCTTCGTTTGGGGTCTTGCCATTTTTAAGGTGCTGGAGAGCTATTCTAATCTCGCTCAGACTGACGTCCGGAATATTATCAGAATAGTGTTGGATAAGACTTACTCTTGGATCGTTACTCACACTTGCGTGTGACTCCAACGATGATGTGTACAACTGGCCCATAGAACCTCTCAATGTCACCCAAAATCATTCAGGTGTCCCGGAAACGACGCTGCCACACTCGGTCTTCAGCTTCGACAGTTGGCTCTTTCTAGCAGACAGATCTCTAGCAAAGACTTTGGAGCCCTGGTTCCACTCGATCGCTTCTTCAATACGAGCAGTATTAAAGTACCGTAAGTTCCGCCGCATGCATTTGGTGATCTGTCTGTTCAGTTGCCTGTATGCTGACAAATCTACTGAAGACTGCAGCTTAATTTCCTGTCTTTATTTAATTTCCAGCCTGAGATTAAGAGTGTGATCGGAGAGTTTTTGTGGTCTTCTGCAGCGGGTCTTGCAGAACTTAGCTCCGACGCCATGGACAGTTTCCACGAGCTTGTCATTGAACATTGGCACTGAAAACGGTTTTGTATCTCGAGCTAAAAGCTTTCGGGATTTTGGATTAGGGCACGAGGGGAACGGAACGTTGCCTTCATTCGACGTGATCTCTCCAACTTAACGTTTAGGTTCAGTGTGCCTCTAACCATTCGGTGATCCCTGCCGGTTATCACCCTCGCGATCACTGAGACATCACGGAACAGTTGTCGTCTGGTCGTCTTAATTAAATTAAAAATTAAAAAATCATTTATTTCAGAACTAGTCCATATCACACTTCATAAATACACATCGAAATTAAAATATTAAATCTAAGTTACGATGTCAATTTTATATGAATTACATTAAAAAAAATCATTAAAATTAAATTATTATTACAATTACTTAAATTCATATAAAAACTTTATATAATGAAGTCAATCTCATTTTTTGTCGAACCGTCGGGGCTCGAACAGGTCCACTTCCTGTAGGGCCGCTTCTGGAAGAAAGAGTTCATCATAAAGAGTCCCTCTTTCTCCATGAAGTCGGACAGCTGCTGGCCCCTTGGGTTCCGTTGCCCTATTCCAAATGTCCCTTCAGCTCACCGTTCTCTCATGTGCCCAGTTTTGCGTTGAAGTTTCCCATTAACACTGTATAGTGGGTTTTGGAGGAATGCATGGCTCTAGATATATCCTCATACATTTTCTTCAACTCCTCATCGGGATGTGCAGAGGTTGGTGGGTAAACCTATATGACCTTCAGCGAATACTGTTTGGTGATTCTGAGTATAAGGTACGCACACACTCAATCTTTACAACGTTGTTAACGAGAAACTTGTGGACGATAAATCCGACACCTCCTTGGGACTGAGGGTCGCCCTCCAGGTGATAGAATAAGTTGCCGCATTCGAGGATTACCATGACCTTCCCCTCTCTTCGGACCTCAGATAATCCTATAATACTACAGCCAGCCAGTCGTCTTAGGTGGTAACCGAACCTCCACCGAAGATTCTTAGCACCCCCTGTCCTGCCGTTACCATGCCGTAGCCAGGAATAGCGGGGCCGGCGGGGAGGCCATCTACTGGTAGCGGTATTTTTATAACTTTCGTCATGGGGGGTATATTGCCATAGTGGCCACGCTTGGCGAGCGGGTTGGCAACCGCAGTTTTTTTTTGTTGTTTAGCTGTTATCAGAAAGATGCTGCGGGCCATTTTGCCTGCAGCATCTTTCTGATAACAGCTAAACAACAAAAAAAAAATGATAACTGCCTCAGTTTCCCTCTGTCGCCTCTTACGACACCCACGGGAAGATATGGTGTAGTGGGTATTTTTACACGCCAGTACACGGGCTACAAGGTTAATAAGCGTACTACTGCAAAACTTCAAGATACTGTTAAGCTCGTTCTGCGTAGATCGGTCCAAAAATTCAAATATTAATTTTTGGACTTGCTTTTAGGCTGGTTACCTTCATTAACCTTGACATCAGGACGTCAAACACCTCAGTTACGAAGTACTGTTATTTATTATGTGCCTCAGTCCCCTTACAGTCCAAGAGGCAGAGCCAAATAAAGTCTCTGAATTTATTAAGCCTGGTTTTTTTTCAGGTGATTACTCGTATAATCATAATTTACAATAAAATGCTACGGTCAGGCGGATATTAGAACAGGTGTCTCAGGTGCGCGGTCAAACATGTCGTGACCACCGACATAATAAAATCAATTTCTTAAGGCTGAAACTTTATGAACTTTTGTTTTTTTATATGTAAATCAAAATTATGATAGTCAGTCAACGTCCTATGGGGACACAGCTGGTTAGTCAGCTGTAATGTACATACGTAGCGAGGTTTATAAGGGTGCAATTCGTTTATTAAACGTGAAGTTTTTTTAGCAAGCAATAACTTAAATTGAAAATGTTTAAAATTCTGAGACAAGAAGAGCTGCTGATCTTCAATCGGCTGAACCGATTTTAATAAAACATGTCTAAGAACCACCGCTAGAAAGTAAGAAAAAACCGCGCCCAAATCGGTTCACTCGTTTAAGAGTTACGGTGCCACAGACAGACAGACAGACAGACACACATAGCGATCTATAATTTAAATTAAACACGATAAAATTCATAAAATTAGTTTTATACAGTGTACATCAATATCAAACCATCGCTCGTCGTCAGTGTAACTGTAGAGGATTAATTTTATCATAAACTATTTTGAAATAGTTTAACCGAACATGATACTTAATTTAGTCATGATAAGCAACAGGGGATGTAGCTCAGTGGTAGAGCGTTCGCTTTGCATGTGAAAGGCCCCGGGTTCGATCCCCGGCATCTCCAATTTTTGTATATATCCCAAAGTAGTCGTTTTTTTATAGTATAATAATAATCATTACATATATAAGTTCATGTTGTAGTGTTGTAGTAAAAGTGTTACGTTCTCAATAATTTTGAGGAACAATAAATAAAGTCAATGCACGACTTTTTCTGCCACCAGGGCGGCACCACTTAAAAATTGAGGTATATAATATATTTGACAGATTTCATAGCGGGGAAGTTAATTTGTACGGAAGATGTAAAGATTATTGTTTCTTTACGTACTATTAGTTATATTTTATATTAATTACAATAAAAATAAATAAACCAAACCGTAGATATTCATAAAAGCAAAAAAAATTAAAAAAAATTAAAAATGTACAAAAAATTAAAGAGTAAACCACTGAGGCATTGTTTTGTGTATCTAGAAATTTAAAAGCTTTTATTAAAAACTTAGTAACAAAAAACTTTACCTCAGTGTCAACTAGTGACATCTGGTGATCAGAAAATTATTAGCCCTCATTGAATGAAAATTACATAATAATAGTACCTAATAAGTAATATGATAATAGCTAATTGAATAAAAATTATACAGTAACAGTGCCCTGATAAACATGTGCTTACTCCATTAAATAGTTTGTCATTATCTAATAATGTTTGTGTGTAGTTAATATTGTTGTGTAGTGGGTGACAATGGTTTCTCGACATTGTCACCAGGAGAAGGGCATTCATTCGTTTCTAAGCAAGCATTGAAATACTGAGAGCTAATCTTCCGTTCCCTAGATGTCGCTAGTTGAATCTGTGACCCCCATGAAGCAAACTTCATGTGTGATCCACTGTGGCTATAGACTTCTGCGTGGTAAACTTATTTGTCAGACAGATTATCACACAGTGCCGTCATCATTGAAAACTTGCGGTTTATTTAAAAGATTTTTGGTTTTAATTTATGTACATAAACAAGTCGTCTGTGGTGCACTTTTTAATTTTTTATTAATTTTGAATTCTTTTTTATTTTTCTACGTTTAGATATATCCGTAGTTTAGTTTATCCATTTTTAATCTAACTTTGTAGTACAATTTACAATGAAATTCATTGATTCATAATTAAATTACATTATACTAAAATTCCTCCAAGTTAGCAGATATCTCCTCACAACTTTGTTGTGTATATTCTATAGTATTGTAAGATTATCCACATATAAAAAAACTGAAATCTGAGTTTTATTTTCTTCGCCAGTCCGGATATTTTTCATCTAGCGACATGTTTATACCGCCATCTATCGCAGATCATATTGAGGCCTTTGTGGCCATCTTATGTGTTGTGTTGCGTACTTTCATCGAAATAAAAAAAAAATTAAATGGGATGACACACTACACAGAACGATGCTAATTATAACAAAATATTTTTTTACCTTCGTCGATGTCATTCGCCACGACTCTCTTAGCTTCCATAAAGGCAGCGGCAATCGAGCCAGCGCCACATCCACATCCCACGTCAAGTACAACGCGATTTTTTACAACCTGTTTATTATCTAAAATGTACCTAAAACATAAGTAAAATAACTATTAAAAGAAAATTAGGTACCTACCTAAATATCATAATTTGATGCGTTATTTTAACATATACATTCTACAACATACTTTGAATAAAAAATAATGAATAAGTTTCCTGCTAGATGCCGCTGATTACATTTACCTCGTTATTTTGATTGTTCTTTATCTTTAACGATTAACTATATAGCTTAGAAGTATAACTTGAAAATTTATAAATAATTCTCAGAAATATATTACCAATTAAAAGTTAATTAGGTACATAATAATATATTTTGAATTTACAATATACTTTGAAATAGGAAATAAAGTTAAAATTTCCTGCTAGATGGCACTATATTATATTAACCTAGTTATTTTAATTATTATCTTTAACGATATATTATGTAGCTGAAAAGTATAACTTGAATATTTATAAATAATACATAGATAAGATTAGTGGCGAGTATTACAATTTTAAAAAGTAGAGGATACAGATTACAGTCAAGGACAACTTACTAAACTAAGTGGATAACATAATGTACAATAACACCGCTAGATGGAGTGCTGTAGAGAACCGGAGACACATTTTACTGGAAAAGAGGCATTCCATCTTAGTCCTCAGGGGTGACGGACGACTCGTGAGGACTAACATGGAATGCATCTGCATTTTGATTCTTTATTGAGGATAATTATATAATTGCCATTGAAAAGTTCTGACATTTTGTTGCAAAATGCAAACACATGTCAGAACAAATCCTGACATATTGTATCACTAACTAGGGAGGGCTTACTTTAGAGGGGTAAAAAGGGGGAGGCGTGATAGAATTTCGCAGAAAGCGGTCTCATAAGAACAAATTAGTTTCGTTACTGTCTGCAACGGTGATTGCGATCGTTATCAATTAATTCTTAGCAAACGCTATCGGCTTTTCGTTATCATTATTATGTGATAAGAGATGGCCGACACGTGTTCTAGGAAATGCTAAAAATATATAAGATTACACGATGCTTGATAAGAGTTGATACACAATAATGACTCAGGATTTTTGTTCACATTTCATTAATAACCCCATTTCGTCCCGTGGGAGTCGTAAGAGGTGACAGGGAGAATGAAACAGACGGTATGCAGCAGTATTCTTGATACCACAGAAATTTAAAGTTATTTAGATATCTGTGCCTGATACCTTTAAAAAGTGCGATTAGCAACCTGCACGCCAAGCGTGGCAACTATGACAAATATCCCCCTATGAGTAGTAACCTATTGGTGGGGGGGGGGGGGGGGGCTATACATAGACTTTGTATCTTATCAATCCTCTATCTACGGGGCTATAGCAGTGGAATTTGATAGGCTGTTAATGATAGGTTATAAAACTGGTGGTAGATTTTAAAAGATGTTCACGTTTTACAAAAAAAAAAAATTAATTTTTTAGGTCGAAAAGTAAAGAGATTCATTTCATTCATTTCATAAATAGCTCAAAACAGCGAAATATTCCCTTACAATAATAAAGTACTAAATATTCTTATACCTACTTTTTTTTTTCAAAACCTACTATTTTGTAAGTAATAATGTTGGCAACCCCAACTGCACATAAAATACGTTTTTCATAATCATGCTATTAAGACATACTTAATCATAGTTATAAGAAAAATAGGGGATATGGCATATGGTCACGTGATCTGAAGTCAAGTGTTTCTCAAATATGGCGACGACTCCACCCACAACAAATAGCGTTGTTTTTATCGATATTTTCAGTATCGATGCTATATAAATTATGACGTATTGTGCATCTCATAGGTATATATTAAATAAACAAATATTAGATCACTACACTATTGCATTGGGTTAATCGTGTAATAATAGTTGTATTGATAAATAAATAAATCTTACGTTCAACTCAGAATAGCAAAGTTTTGGAACTGTAATTGCTTTAAGATATGGTAAAGCAACAGTCAAAAGTGAGCGAGGAGACCAAAGAAAGAGCATTTGATTGGAGCTTTAACTCCTTTCTTTTCAGAACACGTATACGACTTGCACCAGAATATTATACTGAGTTTGTGTAACGAGCTAACGTTTTTTCGTAAAGACGGCAATCTGCACATAAGCACTCCATCCGTGCGTCCCTGGGTCGACACATGCATTTTTTTTCTCCTCTGCAGAGATTAACGAAACCACCACTATAGGCAATGTATTAGGCTTCGTATGATTTTTTGTCCAGCCCATGCTGTCCCACTACTAGGCAGAAGTCTCCTCTAAGTTTTTCCTAGTGGTTTTGTCCTGCACCAAATCGAACCAGCCCCAACGGTATGCGTCCAGGTTGCGTGAATTATATCATATATATAGACTTTATAGCGGCTGGGAAGTTAGTTGCGAGCGCAAGTCCTGTACCTTCACGCTTCGCTTTACGTACTGTGATCTGAGACACCATCAAGGTTTCTTTCAACTATATCTGCACGGACTAGCGCTCGCTTTTAACTTCCAAGCCGCCATAAAAATTCGACAACACCTTTCTTTCGTGGTAATGGTCGGTTACCAGTTCAAGTCACAATGAACGTGCAGTAGACTGACCTTTATCTTGATTTATTTAAAGTTTGTGGAGCATGTGTTCTTTCATACATGGTTACTAGCCGTCATCTCTCTTTTTTTTTGATAATAAAGATTATTTATTTATTTATCTCAGTAATCTAATCGAGTTGAGCAGCCCCTTTCTAACCATACCACCGTTCACACAATCCATTTATCATTTAACTATCCTAACGTATTCTTCAATCTTCAGCATCCCATGTTCATACCATATGACAACCAATTTCCATGCATCATTTCGATCAATAGGGGTGGCTGCGCCACTTCAGACTTCCACTTCCATACTCATTTCTCATTATATCCCATTTGTGTAATACCACAAAATGTCAATTTCATAGTGTTTACAACCTGCAAGTTGTAATGACTTCTACCAGTAGCGTAATTAGTGGTGGATACTGGAGGTAAACGAGAGAGCAAGGATTAAAAATAAATAAAATAACAATAATGCATACTGATTAAAATCATTTATTCGTGACGAAATAATATTATTTAGTCACAAAATTTATTTTAGACACATGAACCAAATCACCCTTAAGCCGAACTACATCCAGCGTTATATTTATACATTCTTTTTCAAAATGCAAGGAGCATATTCTTCTTAAAACTGCAGGTTTTATGTTTTCTTGGCCTATATTATCAATCCACAATTTTTAAACGCCTTCATTTTTTGACAACCTAAAATAAATATTATGCATCCTTAAGTACCAATCAAAAATAACCTTAACATCATCAAATCTTTTGATGAAAAAAACTATTATAGAAAATTTACGATTTACACTATTTTCAAGTTCTTTTCTTAAATGAAAGGCTCTCAATCGATCGTTTGATTAAATATACAGTTTACGTATCTAAAACGTTATTTGATCATAGGACTACATTAATATTATTGTTAAAATTTATATCGATAATTTCAAAACATGACAGCACGTAAGGGCAACACTAACCTAACCATTTTAAACATAGGTTCTGAACCTACTTTCATAAACAAACGCTGTCGCACTATAATCGACCTCACACTTGCAACAGAAGGAGCAGCCAAACTAATTACGGGATGGCATGTGTCGAGAGAGGCCTCATGCTCAGACCATAGATGGATCTGCTTCGCACTACAGGTCGATATCCCCTCTACACCATCATGGAGAAATCCCCGCAAGACAGATAAAACTAAATACCTAAATAGGCTGACGTCTTTGCTAGCGGATTTTGAGGGGATAAATACTATAGCAGATCAGTCGCTCCTAGAAGAACAGGTAGCAGCTGTTACTAAGGCCATGATAGACAGCTACCATGAATCATGTCCAGAAATCACTCCACCAAGACATGCCGAGGTAAAACAAACGTGGTGGGGTAAAGAACTCGATAGAAAACGTAAGAAGGTAAGAAAAGCTCTAAATAGGGCCATGAATACCTCAATGGATGAAGACTGGCTATTATATAAGAAAGCTAAGTCTGAATACAAAAAATGTATCAGGTATCGACGCTCGATTGGGTGGCGTAAATTCTGTGGCAACATAGAAACCTGCAAACAAGCAAATAGGATTAGGAATATTCTAGCTAAACAGAACACGTCGGGATCCATGTCTCTAAAGAAACCCGACGGTAGCTACTCAACATCGCCGGATGAAGCCCAACGCATCCTAATTGAAACGCACTTCCCAGGTTGCTGCGTAACCCAGGAGGCAAACCGGCATGACGACATACTGACATCAACAGCAGAAGACTGGAATTTAGCACAGAGAGTGGTAACGATGGACAAAATCCATTGGGCCATTCACAGTTTCCTCCCCTATAAGGCGGCAGGACCCGACGGCATATTCCCGGCACTCCTACAGTGGGGGGGTAAAGCCCTAATAGTCAGACTTGCTGCCATAATGCGAGCCTGTCTTGCTCTTAAATATGTTCCTAGGGGATGGAGGGAAGTGAAAGTTACATTCATACCCAAACCAGGTAAGAGCGACTACACTGACCCTAAATCCTACAGGCCCATTAGCCTCACATCCTTTCTCCTAAAGACGATGGAGAGGATGTGTGAAAGGGAATTAAGGGGGTCGGCGCTAATGAACTTACCACTACACGACAAGCAACACGCCTACAGTCTAGGCAAATCAACAGAATCGGCCCTCCATAAGGTAATTACAAAGATTGAAGAGGCCATCCAAAACAAAGAAATATGTCTAGGTTCCTTCATAGATATAGAAGGTGCTTTTGACCGAACGAACTTCTCCAGCATAAAAGGTGCACTCGGTAGACACAAAGTTGAACCGGCACTGATCGACTGGATAGTTTACATGCTCAGTACACGAATAATAAAGATTGCTGGTGAATCTCAACCAATCCAAATTAAGAAAGGCTGCCCGCAGGGTGGGGTTCTCTCACCTCTCCTGTGGAATATGGTCATTAATGAACTCATCAGCAAATTAAATGACAATCAC